GAGGGCGAAAAGAAGGAAGGGTTGAAGGGGAAGCGAACAGAAGCGATGGTGGTGGCTATCGAATCGACTCGGAATGTGGAGCGTAACGGCGCTGAGTTAGAAAAGGAGGAAGGGGTGGAGGGGAAGAGGGCTGCAGTGGTGGTGGCGGGGAGGACGGACAAGGGCGTGCATGCAGCAGGGCAAGTGTGTGCCTTCCGTGAGTGGCCCTTCCTGTTTGTGTGTGTGGGTAGCGCCGCTGCCTTGTGTTAGTTCCTCTCTGTTGCATCTCCCTTGGGGGTTACGGGGAGCACCAGTATCGGCGGCAGTGGTGGTGGTAGTGGCGATGGGGGGAAGTACGGACAAGGGCGGCATGCAGTTTGAGTCGTCTCAAAAACAAGGGCGGCATGCAGTTTGAGTCGTCTCAAAAACAAGGGCGGCATGCATTTTGAGACACGAGGACGTTTCTGAGAGGGTGTCTCAAAAACACCCTCTCTACACGAGGACGGACAAGGGCGTGCATGTGTGTGTGAGTAGCACTGCTGTTTGTGAGTAGCGCTGCCTTGTGTGGTCAGGGAGGACAGAAAAGGGCGTGCACGCAGCAGGGCAAGTGTGTGCCTTCCGTGAGTGGCTCTCTTCTTTCTGCGAGTCTCCTTTTTTCCTTTTTTCCTTTCTTCTCTTTGTGGTTTCTTTACATGTATTTTCGTTCACTTCCACCTCCCTCCCTCTCCCCCCACCAGACACGTGGAAGAACCCCCTGGATCTCACAACAGTAGCTGCAGCTGTCAATGCAGCAACACAGGGATTTCATCTCAGTTTCCCTCGCTCCCTCTCTTCCCCCCCCTCCTCTCCCTTCCCTCTCTCCCAACCCCACCAGACACATGGAAGAATCCCCTGGATCTCACAGCGGTAGCTGCAGCTGCTGATGCAGACATGTGCTATCAGCCCTCCCCCTTTTCCCCGCTCATCCCTTCCCCTCCACTCCCCGTCCTCACCCCTCCCCTGCAATCAGACACGTGGAAAGACCCCCTTGATCTCACAGCAGTAGCTGCAGCTGTTGATGCAGTGACCAAGGGAAGCCTGAGAGTCATCAGCATTTCAAAGGTATTTTTAATCTGAAAGAGAGGGGCAGTCTCATTTTTTGTGATATCCTCACCTTTCGGTTCGCTCCTCTCCTCTCTCTTCCTACCCTTTCCCCTTAGTCTCAGTCCCTTCCCTCGTTTCCCTCAGTTTGTTTCCGTCAGTCCCTTCTCTCTCCCCCTTCCCCCCTCACTTGCAAGTCCCTCGCTCCTTCCACCCACAATTTTCAGTCCGCTGGCGCTGTCATCTCTAGTTTTGAGACGTCTCAAAACAAAATTTTGAGACGTCTCAAAACAAAATTTTGAGACGTCTCAAAGCTGGCGCTGTCATCTCTAGTTTTGAGACGTCTCAAAGCTGGCGCTGTCATCTCTAGTTTTGAGACGTCTCAAAGCTGGCGCTGTCATCTCTAGTTTTGAGACGTCTCAAAGCTGGCGCTGGCATCTCTAGTTTTGAGACGTCTCAAAACTAAATTTTGAGACGTCTCAAAGCTGGCGCTGTCATCTCTAGTTTTGAGACGTCTCAAAGCTGGCGCTGTCATCTCTAGTTTTGAGACGTCTCAAAGCTGGCGCTGTCATCTCTAGTTTTGAGACGTCTCAAAGCTGGCGCTGTCATCTCTAGTTTTGAGACGTCTCAAAGCTGGCGCTGTCATCTCTAGTTTTGAGACGTCTCAAAGCTGGCGCTGTCATCTCTAGTTTTGAGACGTCTCAAAGCTGGCGCTGGCATCTCTACCTGCCGCTACTTTTGTGGGAGGGGTGCCCTTTGGAATCCGTCCTCCCTTGCTGACTCCGCCCTCTCTCTCTCTCTCTCTGCCGCTCCTTATCCCTCTGTGACCCTCAGGTCCCTCGCTCCTTCCACCCGCAATTCTCAGCCCGCTGGCGCCGCTACCTCTACCTGCTGCCGCTTCTGCTGCAGTGGGAGTGATGCTCATCAGACCGCCCAACCCAATACTTCTGCTCACCATCTCCCTCTCCCTTTCCCTTCCTGCCCTTCAGGTCCCGCGCTCCTTCCACCCGCAATTCTCAGCCCGCTGGCGCCGCTACCTCTATGTGCTGCCATTGCTGCAGTGGGAGGGGTGCGCCTTAGGAACCCTGAGCATGAAAAGGTGCGCTTGTGCTGAAATGCCCAATGGCGAAGGGAGATTAGTGTTAGAAGGAGGGTTAGAAGCTTATGAGTCGACTCATAAGTGTGCTTGTGCTGAGAGGCCCAGTGGCGAAGGGAGATCATTGTTAGAAGGAGGGTTAGAAGGAAGGTCTGATTGTGACGCACGTGCCTTGCCCCTTGCTTCAGAATTTTTTCAAGTAAGGGATGCGGGCGCGGCTGGCAGAAGGATATTTTTTGAGTCGACTCAAAAGCCTCTTCAGAATATCTACAAGTGGGGGATGCGGGCGTGGCTGACAGAAGGATATCCGCGTTTGAAGGAGGGTCGGGCTGTAGTCCACATGCCTTGCCTCTTGGTTCAGAGGTCTTACAAACAGAGGGTTTGAGAGCGGTTGATGACACTTGGGTTTTGCTTGTTGCTTCACCCAATTGTATGGACCAAGGGAGGGAGGAGAAGAGATGGGATGATGATGAGACGATTGCCGAAGGACGGAAGGAGAATGGAGAAACGAGGAGAATGGAAAGAGGAGGGATGATCGCGGGGGGTGTATGCGGGTTGTGCGGCCATGTTAAGAAGGCGTGTGTGACAGTACAGGACCTTTCTGGTGCTGTTGATGATGGTGCTTTTGAGTCGACTCAAAGCCATGTTAAGAAGGCGTGTGTGGCAGTACAGGACCTTTCTGGTGCTGTTGCTGATGGTGGTGGCGCCGCTGGTGACAGTGCTGCTGGTGGTGCTGCAGCTGGTGATGGTGCTGATGGTGGTGGCGCCACTGGTGACAGTGCTGCTGCTGTTGATGGTGGAAACGGTGCTGGTGCTGGTGCTGGTGCTGGTGCTGTTTATTCAATAAAGGAGGATGCGAATGGCAAAAGTGCAAATGTTCCTCAGATGGCTTACCGTGTCACGAGCAGCAATTGCCTGACCTCTTGTATCAGTCAAAACCGCATCCACAGCAGCAAAACAAGTAGCAGCAGCAGAAGCTGCAGCAGCAGCAGGAGCAGCAGCAGCAGCAGCAGCCGTACTGGTAGCAGCAACGGTGCTGCACCATTCAAGCCAGCGTGCATGCATGTGGCATGAGTGCACGCCTTACTGCATGCTCTGGAGACCCATACCCGCGCCCATGGCCCCACCTGCTTCCGAGCATTTGCGCGCGACACTGCTGCTGGCAGAGGCAGGTGAGATGGGGAAGGTGGGTGTGTAAGGAAGGGGAGGTGAAATGTGAGGAGGGGATGGGAGGTGGGTTGAGAGGGCGTGTGTGTATGCAGTGAAGCATCCAGAGACTATCCAGTGACACATTCCTCTGCATCTTCTTCTGGAGACCCATACACACACCCATGGCCCCGCCTGCTTCCGCGCATTTGCGCGTGACACTGCTGCTGGCAGAGGCAGGTGAGGAGATGGATGATGTGTGAGTGAGGAAGGGGAGGTGATGGGAGGTGGGTTGCGAGGGTGCTTGTGTGAGCAGTGAAGCATCCAGCGACCATCCCGTGCCACATTCCCCTGCATGCTCTGGAGACCCATACCCGCGCCCATGGCCCCACCTGCTTCCGCGCGTTTGTCCGCGACACTGCTGCTGGCAGAGGCAGGTGAGAGAGGGCAGGTGAGGAGGGAGGGGTGGTGGTTGTGGGCGCACATTCCCATGCATGCTCTGGAGACCCATGCATGCTCTGGAGACCCATGCATGCTCTGGAGACCCATGCATGCTCTGGAGACCCATGCATGCTCTTGAGACCCATGCATGCACCCATGGCCCTACCTGTTTCCGAGCATTTGCCCGAGACACTGCTGCTGGCAGAGGCAGGTGAGAGAGGGCAGGTGAGGAGGACGGGTGAGGAGGGCAGGTGAGGAGGGCAGGTGAGGAGGGCAGGTGAGGAGGGCGGGTGAGGAGGGCAGGTGAGGAGGGCAGGTGAGGAGGGCGGGTGAGGAGGGCAGGTGAGGAGGGGTGGGTGGGGTAGAAGAGAGTCAGGCAGGTAAACCCCTGTGCCCCTGGCCCCACCCCACCTGCTTCTGCGCGTTTCCATGTGACACTGCTGCTGGCAGAGGCAGGTGTTGTTGTTAAGCTCAGCCTAGAGAAGATTAAGATTAGATACTTGTTAAGGACGAGTCACCTGTTGGATCCAGGTCGAACCTGTTCTTCTCTGCTGCTGGCAGAGGCAGGTGAGACAGAGATGGTGTGTGAGGAGGGGGGGTGATGTGAGGTGAGACAGGATTGGTGGTGAGGGCAGGGCAAGTGTGTGAAGCGTAGCACGTGTTTGATGGGTGAGTTTTTAGTTGACTTAAGAATCACCCCATTGTTGCATCAACTCCCCAAGTGTTCCTGACTGACTTCCTTTATACAGTCTCTGTGTTTTGATATAGACTCCCTTTGTGCTCCTTACTGTCTTCCTTAACAGCGGATCCGCTACAGTGTGCAACCTCTGGCGAGCAAGAGCCTTAGAAGCGAACTTACCGGTTGCTGCAGAGAAAGCTGGTGAACCAGAAGGAGCATTGGCAGAGGGCCGTGCAATGTGCGTCCCAACAGGAGAAGCAGGAGCAGCGGGAACAGCAGGGGTAGCATCAGCAGCAGGAGGAGCAGGCATGCGAGTTCTGTGTGTGGAGCTGGTGGGAGATAGATTCTTGCGACGGGTACGTGCGATGTGATGAATGCTCTCCTGCCCGCCCACCCGCCTGCCTGCCCGCCCTCCCGCCCGCCCGCCTGCCCGCCTGCCTGCTTGCCTTGCCATGTTTTGATTGTGTTACCCATACGCAATTTATCACTCTGCTTTTCTACTTCCTCCCTCCCTGGCAGATGGTGCGAGTGCTGGTGGCGACGGCAGTGAGGGAGGCAGCAGCAGGGGGAGGTGACACCTGTCTGCTGAGGCTGGCAGCAACAGGGGAGAGGCGGTCCACAGCTCCCCCTGCCCCTGCTGCTGGCCTGTGCCTGGTGGATGTCGGCTACAGTGATATCTTGCCTCTACCCTTAGGCTGCTGAGAATTCTGTTCAAATTCTGCTGTCTGCTGATGCTGGGGCTGGCAGCAACAGGGGAGAGGCGGCGACAGGCCCCCCTGCCCCTGCTGCAGGGAGCTGTGCCTGGTGGATGTCGGCTACAGTGGCGCCTTGCCACCGTTGTTGTAATGCAATGTAGGGGCTCATTTGTCAGCGAGCCTCTATCATGCGTCTGGTGTATGTACGTAGGGTACAGTGATGCTTTGCCACCACCGTTATAGTTAATTCGTATTACATACAAATGAATGCTATTTTTGTAATGTGGGCAGTAGCAGGGGGAGGCGGCAACTGATTGGTGGGGTTGGCGGCAACAAGGGAGACGCAGTCAACAACGCCCCTACAGTGACGCCCCACCACCACCTCCATAATAAAGAATATACACTCGTTTCACAAATGATACTGGCCTGTCAGGATTGTCCATGAATGTCATGGGCTGTGCATGGCAAGGCAAGGAAAATGAAAACGAGCCCTCTTGTAGCATGAATGTCATGGGCTGCGCATCGCAGGATAGTCACTGAGAATCCCAGTGCTGCCGACAAGTCTTTTGAGACGTCTCAAAAGCCGCAAGCTACGATAACCTTGTACTGGACACCTTAAAACGAGTCACTTTATAGCATCCGCATGGAAGGATAGTCACTCAGAATGTCATGCGCTGTCAACGAGTCAGAGGGGTCTTGTGGCGTCCACAGCACTTCCACACCCTGCAGTGGAGAGTGGTACAGAGCGGTTTGAAGGCAGTTTACAGAGAGTAGAGGCAGGTAGAGGGAAGCTTCATAAGCGTAAAAACGGTCAAGAGAGCCAAGAGGAAGGTTCACATAGACCCTCACTCACCCCTCAACCCAACCCTCGAACTCCCCCCTCCTTCCACCATCAAATCCACTCTCCCTTTTTTCACTTCCCACACCACCTGCTTCTGCACTTGGTGCTCTCACCTGCCCTGTCCCACTGCCTTTTGAGGCGCCTCAAAAGTTGCACTTGGTGCTCTCACCTGCCCTGCCCCACTGCCTTTTGAGGCGCCTCAAAAGTTGCACTTGGTGTTCTCACCTGCCCTGCCCCACTGCCTTTTGAGGCGCCTCAAAAGTTGCACTTGGTGCTCTCACCTGCCCTGCCCCACTGCCTTTTGAGGTGCCTCAAAAGTTGCACTTGGTGTTCTCACCTGCCCTGCCCCACTGCCTTTTGAGGCGCCTCAAAAGTTGCACTTGGTGCTCTCACCTGCCCTGCCCCACTGCCTTTTGAGGTGCCTCAAAAGTTGCACTTGGTGTTCTCACCTGCCCTGCCCCACTGCCTTTTGAGGCGCCTCAAAAGTTGCACTTGGTGCTCTCACCTGCCCTGCCCCACTGCCTTTTGAGGCGCCTCAAAAGTTGCACTTGGTGCTCTCACCTGCCCTGCCCCACTGCCCACTCACCTGCCCCACTTGCCAATCTAACCTGCTCCACTCGTTGATCTCACCTGCAGCTCATCAATGGGGATCGAACCCAGTCTCGCAAGAGCCTCTTTCAAAGAAGCAGAGTGTCCCTGACTCCTCACTCCAGACTCCTCAAAACACTCTTCGCCCCCGCCTGCCCCACCTCTCTCTCACCTGCAGCTCATCAATGGGGATCGATCCCAGTCTCGCGAGCGCCTCTTTCAAAGAAGCTGCGGATTTCACTTCAGGCAGATTGAGGGTTCCCTCACATGCTGCTGTAATGGTCACCTGTTTGTACATGACAAAAAATGGGGAAGAAGAAGAAGAAGAAAAAAACAACAACAACAACAGCAACAACAAAGATTGGTGAGGGGGACAGTGACACAGGAGGAGGGGGGACAGCCGAAATGGCTGATACAATATTGCTGTTCCAGCAGCGTTAATTGTACAGCAATACACCCAGAAGTACCCATCTTACAACGATTCTTGCGAAAATTTAGTGAGCCGTACAGAGAAAATAAAGCCTCACATCACCGCGATGTAGTCAGTGGAGCTCCCCTCCTGCTACACTGTACGGGTTCCTCTCCTCCATTTCATCGTTGCAGCTCCATGAACCCCCAACCCTCTCCCACTAACTACCCCACCCACCATGATGTATTCTGTGGAGCTCCCCTCCTGCTACACTGTACGGATTCCTCTCCTCCTCCTCCTCCTCCTCCTCCTCCTCCTCCTCGTCCTCCTCCTCCTCCTCCTCCTCCTCCTCCTCCTCCTCCTCCTCCTCCTCCTCCTCCTCCTCCTCCTCCTCCTCCTCCTCCTCCTCCTCCTCCTCCTCGCCATGCCGTCTTACAGCCAGCCAGCCGCACAAGAACTGAAAGCCTAAAACCCACACTCACCACAATGTACTCTGTGGATCTCCCCTCCTGCTGCACTGTACGGGCTCCCCTCCTCCATGCACTCGTTAAAGCTCCCCATGCCAGCCACCTTCCCTCCAACGTAAAGCCCCCACACAGCACTCACCACAATGTATTCTGTGGAGCTCCCCTCCTGCTGCACTGTGCGCGCCCCCCTCCTCCTCGTCGCCATGCCCCCACCCACGTTGACCACCGTTTCGTCCTGGAACTTTCTCCGTTCCTCCATGCTTGCCCGGTTGAACGCCGTTTCGCCAGCGTTGGCATCGCGATATGCAGCGGACTGGAGTGGTTTGAAACAAATAGAGTGGGGGCGAGGGTTAGAAAGAGAACAAGAGAGACGATAGGCTTTCTCCGCTCCTCCATGCTCGCCCGGTTGAACGCCATCTCGCCAGCATTGGCATCGCGGTACACAGCGGACTGGAGTGGTTGGGGAGGGGGGGTGGGTGGGAGGAGAAAATGGAAGAGATAAAACTTCCTCGCCTCCTCCATTCTCACCCCGTTGAACGTCATCCCTCCAGCATTTGCAACTGAAGTGGAAGTGAGATGGCAATACACAGCAGACTCGAATGGTGGAGGGAAGAAAGTTTAGAAGTTTGTTTGAAATATATGATACGAATATATAAATTCCGATCGCCAGCGTGGTACACCAAAAGAGAATGAAAACAAAGGAACGAAACGAGGCATGACCAGGTTGTCCCAAACTGCATCAGGTACCAACCGAGAGAAATCGCAACGCGGCTAAATGCCGATAGCAACAGGTAAGAAAAAGGTGACTTTTGAGTCGACTCAAAGGTCCATTTCAACAGAAACAACTGAGGAAGAGAACGAAACAAACAAATGATTTTTTCAACCTCAAGCCTAGTTTCATCGTAAGGGAGGTAACAGAGAAAATATTCAAGGGTAGACAATCTGTGAAGGATAGAACGTGACGGGTAGACGGTGGATGGTAGAGGGTATGCGATAGATACGTACAGAGGAGAAGCCATAGACACAGTAGTCAGGATGGCGCAGGAGGGCGAGAATGGTTTCTGGTGGCAGTTGGGGTTGGTTGGGGTGGGTTCGGGTGGGTTGGGGGTAGGTGGAACGGCAGAGATGTAGAGAAAGAGGGGAGAGAGAGGAGTGTAGGGCGTGGAACAGGTAACACCCCAACTCACAAAAACCACCACCTTACAACATAGACGCATAGCAATAGCTGGAATGACGCAGGAGAGCACGAATGGTCTCTGGGGTTGGTTGGTTGGGTTGGGAAGTTGTGCAACCCACCTGGGGATGTGGGGGATGTCCCATCTGTTATTTGAGAATTCTAAAAAAACAGATTCAACCTGGATATGTGGGGGATGCCACATCACATCACTTTTATCACGTTCTGCTACTTCTCCACCAACCAGCATCCACACACGCGTATACGAACATCCAAATACTCGTAGGTCACACGCCATGCGTGTGACTTTTGAGTCGACTCAAAAGTCTACTTCTCCACCAACCAGCATCCATACACGCGTATACGAACATTGACTTTTGAGTCGACTCAAATGCCACATCACATCCGCCCGTTCTGCTACTTCTCCACCAACCAGCATCCATACACGCGTATACGAACATTGACTTTTGAGTCGACTCAAATGCCACATCACATCCGCCCGTTCTGCTACTTCTCCACCAACCAGCATCCATACACGCGTATACGAACATTGACTTTTGAGTCGACTCAAATGCCACATCACATCCGCCCGTTCTGCTACTTCTCCACCAACCAGCATCCATACACGCGTATACGAACATTGACCTTTGAGTCGACTCAAATGCCACATCACATCCGCCCGTTCTGCTACTTCTCCACCAACCAGCATCCATACACGCGTATACGAACATTGACTTTTGAGTCGACTCAAATGCCACATCACATCCGCCCGTTCTGCTACTTCTCCACCAACCAGCATCCATACACGCGTATACGAACATCCAAATACTCGTAGGTCACACGCCATGCGTGTATACGAGTGTGATATGCTTATCACTTGCACTCCGCTCCCCAGAACCTTGCATTGCAGCAGGTAGAGCAGCCCATCCGGACATTCACTTGGGATGTCACATCCGCCCTGTCAGCTATTCTCTCCAAGTCAGCTTAAAGCCTTCGCTCTGCCCCCAGCAACCCCACGTAACTAACGCGCCTATCCATACACAGTTCATTCACACACACTTCACATGCGGTTCACACACCTTGCAGAAGGTAGTGCAGCCCATCTTGGGATGTCACATCCGCCCTGTCCGCTATTCTCTCCAGGTCAGCTTGAAGCTTCCGCGCTGCCCCCAGCAACCCAACCTGCCACGTGCGATATGGGACAATGACCTCAATCAGTTACCTGAAATTCGAAACTTACGGAAATGGTTTTCCAAGTTTCCTCAACTCTGTCTAAGGTCAACACAGTTGGACGAATGAATCCATTTTTTTAGAATTCTCAAAAAACAGATTTAAGTTTCCTCAACTCTGGCTGAGGTCAACACAATTGGACGAACGAATCACACAGACAGGCAACTCTCCCCGCCCCCCCTCCATTTACACATGTGCGATGAAAGAACGAACAAAAACGGCATGTCAGCTACCTGTAGATAGCAACACCGCACTGCACTGCTCTGCACTCACCCACCTGTAGCTGCACCACACTGCA